ATTCTGTTAGGTCTAAAAACACAGTCTTCCTCCAAGGGAAGTGCACATGAAAACATGAGGATTAAGTGAATATATTTGATCTTGAAAGTAATTTTTTTCCATTGAATTTTTGGTATTGTCAGCATGTCTTTCCATCTGTGTCTGTACTATAAATGTAGCAGATTGAGCAGCTGAAAAGGATATTTTCATCCTTTCTCTTATAAAAATAAATTAGTTTATTTAGAACAGGAAAAATAGCATTGTAAATGCATGATTTTATAACATAATTGGTGCTTGTATTCATTATTCAAGTGATTTATTTCCTGCATTGTTTCTCAAAAGTGTTAACATTTTGAAACTAGCATTTTCTAGAAAACAGCTGTTTCCTTGACAACCATGATGTCTGCATCAGGGTTCCACTAAGCCCTTCGAATATAAAATATTGCCACTAACACACGGTTGCACATACAGCTGCACTTACTGCAAGACATGAGAGAGCTAAATTTAACTTATGTTTGCGTTGCTCATTATGAAATTGCAATAAATGAAATGAAAGCCTATTTGGTGAAAACATAACACTGTCCTGTTCCTTTTACCTAAAATGTCTCATTCAACATCAGCAGATGATTTTACATTTCTTCATAAGTTGGCCTGCTATATAGGTTTGTCAAAATTTGCTTTTCTTTAGAACTTGTCAAATTAATCTTCTTTGGAGATTGCCTAATTTTGAAGAGATTTTGAAGATGTCTTTCCAGACAGCTTAGCATTTTATAGGCCTTACGTGCATTCGGGACCTTTCCAAGCATTTGCTGCTCAGGCTTTACACTGCACAGAGCACAGTGCTGAGCATATATTGTATTTGGCTCTTAGTAGATATTTGGTAGTGATTATCACTGCTTGCTTTGGTAAAGCTAGCTGAGTGAGACAACTCTGAAAGCCAGGTCCTACAGTCACAATTTCTCTGTACAACGTAAGTGAACTTCACAATTTAGATTATAAAAAATTTAATTAAATCCTCTATCTCTGGTATATGAGGCCAAATCTCACTTGGTCTTTAAAAAACATTCTTGTACGGAAAATAAACAGACTGATCAGAAGGTAAACTATTCTATATAGCTATTATATTAATTCGTATCATTTGACTCATCTTTCCTGTTCCCATTTTTAGTGATTGCCATTGATATTGATCCTGTTAAGATTGATCTTGCTCGCAATAATGCAGAAGTTTATGGGGTAGCAGACAAGATAGAGTTCATCTGTGGAGATTTCCTGCTGCTGGCTTCTCATTTAAAGGCCGATGTTGTGTTCCTCAGCCCCCCTTGGGGAGGGCCAGACTACGCTACTGCAGAGACCTTTGACATTAGGACAATGATGTCTCCTGATGGATATCCTTTGGACGTCTTAACAGTTTATACAAACAGTGGTTGTGGAGAAGGGTGTGTGTGTGTGTGAAAAGGAGAAACTAGTGAAGAGGAGAGGAGCTAATAGCACTTGATAGATTCTAGTTTTACATAAAAAGCTGGTGATGGATTTCCAAAAGTTACAGCAGATATGAGGTCATATTTCCTTTGGTTACTACCCAATTTTACCATTACAGAACAAGAACTAGAAA